AGAGCGGGAAGCATAGCCGCCCCCGAAGCCTGATGGAGCCCCTTGGGTGGGACCTGTGAGGTGTCCTGCCTCGGCCCCCAGGAGGAAGGCAGAGGCGGGTGGCAGGGCCTGCACCTTGGCAGAGACTCCTGTGTCCTGGATTGCCCTGGCCTTGTCCACTGGGAGAGCCTGCCTTGGCTGTGATCCTCTGGGCCCATCCTCTGGAGTGGACACGAGAAAACAGGCCCTCCCTGGGCCCCGCGGCTTTGGGCTGTATAGGTTGGGGGGCTGAACAGTCCTTATCCTTCTGCTGCCCGCAGCCCCTTTATTTGCAGTGAGATGTCTGCAGAAACGTGAGCTTCTGGCTGTTTATATCCTGTTGAGTCCACGGGAAAGCATCCCAGCCAAGGGGCTCCTCTGGTCCTGCTTCATCAATCTTCAGATTCTCATTTATTTTCTAGTCTCTACCTCTTGTACCCTCAATTAAATCTCGTTAGTTTTTACCAAATGCCTTGCTCTGGCGCAATTAGGGTCACCGCCTTTCCAGCCTGTAGGACCCATGTCTGTTTCCTCACCACCTGCCATATTCCCGGTGTCCGAATGTGAAGTTGATGCCTTATCTTCAGGTGGTTGTCCCCTCAGCACTCCAGTTCTGGAAAACAACTTATGTTGGTCAGAGTACAGGCTAAGCTCCTGTACAAAAGCAAACACTCCAGACAAACACAGCCGCTGAGATAAGAGAGGGCTGCTTGTTTCTTGGGGGACGTCTGTGTGTGCGGACAGTGCTGCCTCGCAGGATGGCCAGTGAGGGCTTCTGTCTGTCACTCTGCCATCCCTGGGCGCCGTCTCAGTCCTCGGGGTCAGTGCTGACCCACCAGCACGTGCGTGTGCACTGCCCGATCTCGGGAAGGTGAGCAGTGGAGGGCGGGCAGTTCCCCGCTAAGGGCCTGGCGTGGGATTGTGTGAGTCACTTTTGTGCTCATTCCAGGAACTTCGTCCCATGGCCACATCTGAGGCCAGAAATGCACCTCCAGTGTGCGACTATATCCTGCTAAAACCTGCAACTGGGGAGGCAGCACTGGTTCTGCAGGAGGAAGTGGATAATGGAAATTGGGGACAGTTAGCATTCTCTGCTGCCCCTTAATCTGTCATGGAAAGGTTGAAAATAAACAGATGGACAGAGATCTCTTGGGAAAAGGCAGCCATAACCAGAAGTGGAGTGGCAGTTTTACTGTCAGTTAAAATGGAATTCCAGATGCAAAGGGTTAAAAGACGGCTGTTTACGTGGACAAGAGGTTCAAACTCCACTTCTCCCCACTAAGACTTAACAGCCATAAATTTTTATGTGCAAAACAGCATACCCTTTGTATTCCTCGGGCAAAACCTGTTAGAAATAAAAAATACTATCACCTTAGAGTGTTACTAACACCTCTCTCAAATTCACAGTTCAGACAGACAGAAAGTAGTAAGGATAAGAAGTGAGAATTGAATTGGCACAATTAATAAACTTAGAGTAAGTGCATGTTGTAACACTGTACCTGTCAGAATACTCTTTTCAAATCTCGGTAGAGTATTTATAAAAGTAGATGTAAAGATGTTTCTCCCCAGTTAATCTGTAAATCCAGTATCATCACAGTTAAAAGTCCCAGTTGAATTTTTTCATGGAACTTAACAAGCTGGTTTTAAAGTACATTTAGAAGAGCATGTAGGGACTTCCCTGGTGGCGCAGTGGTTAAGAATCCACCTGCCAATGCGGGGGCACGGGTTCGAGCCCTGGTCCAGGAAGATCCCACATGATGCGGAGCAGCTAAGCCCGTGTGCCACAACTGCTGAGCCTGCGCTCTAGAGCCCGTGAGCCACAACTACTGAGCCTGCAAGCCTGGAGCCCGTGCTCTGCAACAAGAGAAGCCACTACAGTGAAAAGCCTGCGCACCACAATGAAGGGTAGCCCCTGCTCGCTGCAACTAGAGAAAGCCCGTGCGCAGCAACAAAGACCCAACGCAGCCAAAAATAAAAATAAATTTATTTTAAAAAAAGAGCATGTATACAGAATAACCCTGCCAGGTTTGGGGATGGGGTGGGGAGTGATGTGGAGGGGACCTGCCCAGTCAGATACCAGAATGAGTAAACATTCAGGGGTCAAACCTGCGTCTGCCCACTGTTTGGGTAGTGAGAGATCCCTATTTCTTGCCATAGACAAAACTGAAAGGCAGGCATATTGTGTATCTAAATGTAAAGTTTTTTAAAAGTGCTGTGAAGAAATACAGGAGAATATTGATATAATTTTGGTTTCCCTTAGCAAGCAAAATCTAGAAGCTGTGAAGAACATTGACAGAGTTCACTACATCACCTTTAGAGCTTCATATAACAAGTGGCATTAGAACAGAGTTAATGGGCAAGTGACAAACTGGAAAAAAACACTTGTACCTATACCAGATGGAAGTTAGTACCCTTTCTAAATAAAGAGCTTCCCCAGCACTGCCAGCCAGTGAGGCTCCTGGCGGGAGGACAGGTTGCTGTCAGGCCTGGTCCAGACGCTGTTCCTGGGCGTGGGGTGGGGTGAGGAGGCCTGTGTGCCCGAGGCGAGGTCAGGAGCACCCACGCGGCTCTCCCGGCTGAGGCTCTGGCTTTTGTCTCTGCAGAAATCCGCCCTGATTGTGCAAGGGCCCCGGGAGGTGAAGAAGCGGGAGCTGGTCTTCCTGCAGTTCCGCCTGAACCAGAGCAGCGAGGACTTCAGCGCCATCGATTACCTCCTCTTCTCTTCTTTCCAGGAGTTCCTGCAAAGGTGGCTTTTAGAGCTCAGGGCGGGCTTGCTCGACACTCATTCTCTCATTCCGGCCGTGCCCATCCCTAGGCTGGGGCAGAGGGTGCAGGGAAGCAGGGCTGTGGATGAGCCACTGGCCTGGAGGAGGGCCTCTCCACAAGGTCAGGCGAGCCCGGTGTAGGGGGTTCCAGAACGCAGCGCTGGTTGAGTCCTGGAGGGAGGTTGGTGGGGCCCACCGCTCCTGGCTGGGGCTGCTGAGGACGGGGTTTTGTGAGTCCCCTGGAGGGCAGCCCCTCCCCTGGGCCTGGCTCCCCACAGTGTCCTGGAACTGTCCTGGAACTGGGTCCAGCCCTGCGTGAGGGCTCAGTGCCTGTTTGCCACGCGTTTCTAACAGGAGGATGAAATTTCCTGTTCGTGGGTGGTGGCACCTCTGGGGCCCAGGGTGCTCGTGTCGTGGGCCGTGGGAGCGCTTTCGGCACGGGCCTGAGCGAGGGTGACTCAGTCCCTCCAGGTCCTGCGTGGCCCTGGGGCTCCATTTCAAGGAAGCTGGGCGGCAGCTAGGGCAGAGAGGTGGCCGCTCCCCCAGCTGACAAGGTTCTGAGCTGCCACCGCAGTTCACACCCCAGTGCCCCAATCCTGCCCATCTTGGAGCCCGGGGCCTCCTCCTCGGCACCTTCTGCCACCTAGAGTTCCCTCTCCCTTCCCTGCTTGAAGCTGGCTGTGTCCCCTGCCTGCCCAGCCCCTTTCTGCTCCTCTCGTGTGGGTCCTCAGTACCGCCATGCGGTTGCCACTTGCCTGTGCACGCGTTATGATCCTGCCACGTCTGCACCGTCCTGAGTGGGTGTTGTGGTGTCCTGCCTGGCTGAGAGCTCCCTGGGGAAGCCTCTTCCCTTCTCTGGGTCTTCAGGGAGGCTGAGGGCCAGTGAGGGCACCCCAGGGCTGCTGAAACCCAGATTTCTCCAAGGCGCTAGGGGCGCGTCTGCAGAATGCGGTGCCGGCTGCTCTGGGAGCAGATGCTGGGGGTGGGTGGGTGGGTGGGTGGGAGTGGGGAAAGCTTCTCCTGCCGGGAGCCTCAGCGACCGTGCTCGTGACTTGAGGCAGCTGACAGCTCCCCCTCCGTCTGGAAGCCAAAAAGCAGGCCTTTGAGGAAGTGGGGAGTGGGCAGTGGGAGCATCCTGGTGGTACCAGCAGAGAAACCGGCTTGACGTAGGGGCTGGAGTTTGAGCCTGGCCACGTTCGAATCCCGCCTGATTAACGTGGACCTTTCTTCTCTGCCCTCCAAGCCCAGACAGGGTAGGCTTCATGCAGGCCTGCGAGAGCGCCTATTCCGGCTGGAAGTTCTCGGGAGGCTTCCGCACCTGGGTCAAGATGTCCCTGGTGAAGACTGAGGAGGAGGACGGGCGGGAGGCAGTGGAGTTCCGGCAGGAGGTAGGTGGCGCTGGGCTCGCTTCGCATGGCCACTGACTCCACCCTTGAGTGCAGGGTGAAGGGAGGCTTCGCAGAGGGGGTGACCGGTGCACAGGGTCTTTGGGGTGAGGCGGCCTTCGCCAGGATGAGAGCGGAGCTGGTACCCGGGAGTCTGCATGTTCTAATGCAGGCAGGGCACACCCCAGGCCCTTTCCCTTTGTCGCTGCAGCCCTCAACAGTGCACACGGCAGAGCGTTTTACAGAGTGGCGTCTCACGTGGCTCAATCTGATGCCTGTTTTTAGTTCTGCTCTACTCCCCCACCGCGCTCTGAGAGGCTGGCGGCTGCATAAAAAAGTTGACTATTGGCAGGGCAGAGACTGGATATGGTAGCCTCTGGAGTGTGGGGTGCATGGTGATGCATTGGACGTAGGAGGAAAATACTAGCTTTCTTTTCGTATTAATTTTTTTTAATTAATTATTTTTGGCTGCATCGGGTCTTTGTTGCTGGGTGCAGGCTTTCTCTAGTTGCTGCGAGCGGGGGCTACTCTTCGTTGCAGTGTGTGGGCTTCTCATTGCAGTGGCTTCTCGTTGCAGAGCACGGGCTCTAGGCGCGCGGGCTTCAGTAGTTGAGGCACACGGGCTCAGTAGTTGAGGCACACAGGCTTCAGTAGTTGTGGCTCACGGGCTCTAGAGCACAGGCTCAGTAGTTGTGGCGCACAGGCTTAGTGGCTGTCTGACATGTGGGATCATCCCGGACCAGGGCTCGAACCTGTGTCCCCTGAGTTGGCAGGCGGATTCTTAACCACTGTGCCACCAGGGAAGCCCCTCTTTCTGTATTAATTTTTAAAACCTCATCCTTTCTCTATTTTTGAATGTTTTAAAATGCATGTAACATTAGAACGGTAATAGTAATGTTATGTCACTTCTAAGAAAGTTATAAATGTGTTGGCACGTGCTCAGAATTCTTTACTAATGGGAAGCGTGATCAAAAAGCTTTCAGCCCCCTGACCTGGGGCCAGGAGATAGGCCGTGATCCTGGGGGCAGCTGGAGAGGACGTTGGAAAAAGGCGTGGCACCGGGGGTGGAGAGATGGAGGGATGGGACATTTTGATTGCCTCAGCAGGGCTGGTAGGCAGTCACCACCCAAAGCAAGGCCGCACCCCTGCCTGTGGGGCTTCCACCTCTGCAGGGGTGCTGCCATCCTGCCAGCATCCCTGCCCAGGGCCTGGCCATCCCGAGTGTCGGTGGCTGGGTGCCTGCAGAGGCAGCGAGGAGACAGCTCTGTTCTCGCATCCCCTCCTCCTCCTTGGAGGTTTTCCATTTGGGCTGGACTCCGAGGGGCAGCTTTAGGAAGGGGCTGGCTTGGAGAAGGACCCTCTCCAACCGACAGGGTGGATGGAAGCCGGGCTCTCATCCGGGTCTGCCCCTCCCCACGCCGCGCTCCTAGGACGATTCCAGATTGGAGGCCTTTGGGAACGGCTTGAAGCCAGTTTTCTTCAGAGGGATAGGGCTTTTTTCCTGCTTTAGGCAACGACCCCCTGGCAGTAGGTCCTTATTCATATTTTGTAAGATAACTGTCATCTCCTGGACTTTTACGCCACACTTCTCTCCAAGAACTCCAAGTTCTTTCTCATCTGGCCCCCAAATCAGCGGAGAAAGGGAGACTCAGTGTGTTCGCCTTACAGTTAGGTCTCCCCAGGCTAACCCCGGCTCTCCTGGTAGCTCCAGCTGTGATCTGAAACCGGCGGGCCAGACCCCCGTGAGCCTGTGCACTGTAGAATGTTTGTGTGCCTCTCAGCATCATCTGCATTGGAAGTCTTTGGTGGGGTATGTGAACTCTTTTGAACAAAAATTAAAAAAATTTTTTAATGTTTTTGTATCATGTTTTAAAGTTTAAAGTGCTTTTCCTGTGTGTTGTTTCATGAGAGCCTCTCTACAACTCAGAAGACAAAAAATGTCCCCCAAAATGGCATTTTGTCCCCCCATTTTATGAGAGCAAAGCAGAGGCTCAGACCAGATGACGGCCCAGCCAGGCTCTGGAACCCGTCTGCTCTCCATTTCAGCTCGCAGCCCCTGCAGAAGCTGTAAGCAGGCCTCACCAAGCACGCCTGCTCACCGTGTGTTTCCAGGGAGTGCTCAGCTGGGCAGAACTGCGAGGCTGTATACTTGGTCCCTGCAGACTGGAAGGGTTGAAATACTCAGCTCTTCAGGTCAAGTATTTTGACATTTGGGATTTTTATGGCTTTTAGTTGTGAGTCTTACACAGTACTTTGAAAATGGTTTAATCAGGTACAGATACCTAGCGACAGATTTCAGTGACAATCCAAAGCACCTATTGTGCACCCCAGATCCTGTCCGTTTCCTCAAAGAATGATGGAAACCAACGTAAAGCCTTGGCTCTGGGACCAGTCTTGGGATATCGTGTAGAGGAGGTTTTTGGCTCTCTCCCTCCAAAAGATGATGCGAGGAGAGCCGAGGTCTCAGCTCCGCTAACTGCCCTCTCCTTCCCTGTGGCTCTGGCCAGGAAGGGACGCAGAAGCGGTGTAACACTGTTTTCTCTCCTCTCTACCTAGACCAGCGTGGTTAACTACATTGACCAGAGGCCAGCGGCCGAAAAAAGCGCTCAGTTGTTTTTTGTGGTCTTTGAATGGAAAGATCCTTTCATCCAGAAAGTCCAAGACGTGAGTATTATCTCCGATCTTGAGAGGGAACTTCCCACCCCGAGGCATTTTGGTGCATCCTTGCAGGCCGTCCTCATCTTCTGTCATAGCGCAGATTTCTGTGTCTTTTGTACTTATGACATTCATTTTCTATATCATTTGTGTTTAATTGATCTCATCTTTAACCCTGGACTGTTGTCGCTGTGAATGTGAGGGCTTCGTCTTTGTTCACCGTTTATCTGGTGTCCAGCATGGTGCTTAGTCCAGCGTAGCCACTGAATAGTGACAGTGAATGAACTAAGTAGAAAGCATTACGCTAATAATCTAGATTACTGCTGTTGGAAGCCATTCTTCTTTATTGGTTCTCTGTAGGATGAGAGTCATTTTTTATTTGTCGTAAATCAGAGCAGAAAGGTACTAATCAGAAATTAAGAGAGCATCAATTAATGCCAGATCCCAGACTCACCGTCTCAGAAGGGGAGGGGTGATGGGACAGCTTTGCCAAAAGAACATTCATGAGACGCCATTTACCAGAGCCAGTCCCAGATCTGATACTGTTTGTTGTTTAGATCATCACAAAATGTCCTGATGTGCTCGTGGGTTGGGGGAAGACATTTCAAACCTGAGGCTCAAACAGGGAGGGGTCTCTGTGATGTGGATATGCCCCATGATCCCATCACCGCTGTTAGTCGTGGCCTGGCTGGGCCGTGGACACGTAGGCATGTGCAGACTCCCTGAATCAAGACTCCACGTGGAAAAATTAGCGCCTTCGGCTCCACACGTAAAATGTGTGATCCAACGTTTTTTAACCTACTGTGTTCAGTATGAAGTCCTATTATGGGCCAAGTAAAGCCCTGAGCTCGAGGCCGACTGACTTGCATCGTCCCTCAGCTTCACAACTGTCCTAAATGGTGGTGGTGGTGGTGTATCTTTCGTAAGTGAGCCTGAGGTCACCCTGCTGAACTGGGTCTTAAAGAAGAACTGTGTGTTTATCAAGCGGGGAACTCAGACAAGCCATGACCTCGGCCTGAAGGAGTTGCACAGTCAGTGAGAAGACCATCTGGGCTGTAAAGGAAGTAATTCCAGACAGTAAGGACCTGCCAGAGGGGTTTGTAGGATAAATCTCTCTGCTCAAGTCGAGAGGGTTTTGGCTCAGTGGTCAGAGGAAGCTGTGAGGGGCCTGGAAGGATTAGTAACTCAAGGTGGGAGGAAAGCGTCCCGGGCAGGGCAAATTGGAGGGGCCCATCTGCAGGCAGGAGTCCATGAGGTGAGTGGAGGACAGGCAGTCGCTGGACTGGATGGGAGGGGAGGTGAGAGTCACTGAGATGGGAAGCAAACAGGAACTGACTGTACAGATGGGGTGTATAGTTGGGAGGAGATGTGTCTCAAAGCAAGGTCAGTCACATTGTGGGTTAAGCCAGAAATTTAAAGCTCAGGACTGAGTACCTTATTTGTGCAGAGCTTTTTGAAAAATTTTCTTTTTCTTTCAGGATCAATTTATTATAGGGAGGGATTAGTATTTTTCTCCTCAAACTGAGCTATGGACAAAGTATGGAGTTATGGCAGTTTTAGAAACCAGTTGTTTTTCTTGTTCCCTCAATAATTGGAGGGGCTCTTTGACGATAACACTGAAAATAAAAAATGGAAGCCAACAGAGGAAATTGTGTTTGTTTCTGTTCTGCAGATAATCACCGCCAATCCTTGGAACACGATCGCTCTTCTCTGTGGGGCCTTCTTGGCATTATTTAAAGCTGCAGAATTTGCCAAACTGAGCGTGAAGTGGATGATCAAAATTAGGAAGAGGTACCTTAAAAAAAGAGGTCAGGTAACGAACCACATAAGCTGAAGTCGCTTGCATTGTTCGTAGGACTGCCCGAGTTCATGGAAGTTCTCATCACTTCTGCTTTGGTAAACCTAGCTGCCAGCAATCCTGTCCTCACTTGAAGAAACGGGCCTTGCTGGGGGGCCTGCCTGTCACACTGCAGCTTCTAACTGGTCCTCAGAGAGACTGTCTAGAGCCCAATGGAACAGATCCAATGGATGACCTTAACCGTTATTTAAGTATTTAAATTATTAATGAACATTTTTTGACATATGACATGAATAGGGTTTGTGGAAGATGGAATTAGATATAATCCAGTTTCCTGAAGGTTTTTGGAAGCTGCCTGCCTTCTCGGTTTGGTGTATAGTTAAGGTCTAACAGGATGATTAAGGCTCTGACCTTAGGTTTTTTTCTTGAGATTTTTTTAAAATGGACAGGAGAGAGTGATTTTCTTCTCCCCCACCAGTGACTCTTTGGGTGTGGAGGTCGTGCTGTGGAACCGGTGTACCGTGTGTGAGAAATGCAAAACCCCTCATGTCTCTGGTGCCATCTGCCAGCCCCTGACACGCTCTCTTGTTTAATATTAAATGAGACTTTTTTTTAAAGCTACTAGAAAAACTAGTAGTTAGATCTCTTGTGGACTGACTAGCCACCTACCTGTCTGGCTAGAATGTTGGTTGATGCAGGTATGAGTTCGGACTGATTAACATACAAAAACACTAGGACATGTGTACATAGTAGGTGCCTACTCAGTGTATTTTGATGATTTCATTAATAGGTGAATAAAAGTTAGGTTAATACAAAAGGAATCAGTGTGCCAGTATGCATATCTGCTAAATCAATAGGCACCAGTACGCTTTCATTTCCGTGACCTCCAAATAAAAGGAAGTGTGAGCCTGGACTTCCACGATGGACGGGTCTGGACTCCTGAGGTACATCATGACCACGTCCAGGGAAGGGCAAGGTGGGCAGGCGATAGATGGCAGGTGGTCAGGAAGTGACATAAAGCCCCATGAATAAGCTGTTAGCTCTTCCTGTCCTACAAACCCCCCACCCATCTGAGAAAGGGGCCCTCAGTATGACCCTCAGAGCTTTCAGCCCAGCCTGTGACAGAGATGAGTAACCTCTGGGTATTTTTCACATGGTAGCCATTAAGGTTATGAAGATTATTTCCAGAATTTTAAATTATTTACATGCCCTTTGCCTCCAAAGAGGACTTGGTATTTTGTAACCCGGTTTTAGATAATTCAAAGAGAACAACTCAAATGTATGAGTGAGGCAATTTTAATCTCATATCTAGTTAGCAGCAAGAAACTGTGGTTTTTGGTTGAATTATTAAAAGTGAACTTGTGTAAGGAAATATTCCCTGCTATTTTTCTATGGCACAGAAGCAGGTACATTCACACTTTAGCCTAGGTCCTGTCTCTATAAAATCTTATTGTAGGGCAAATGCAAAGCCAGGCATTAAAGCTTACATTAACAGCACTGAAAAACAGGTATGTGTATTTTTAAATTCTCTCTGAAGATGACACACCACTTTAATATTAAATAGCTATTAACAAAATTTGCTGCAATGAACATATTCAAACTGTTACTTCCTGTACTGTAGAAAGTTGAGAGATCTCTTGAACGTGCTTTCGAGTAAGTAGCTAATTAATTAGGAAGTGGGCATTTCTAGCTCTTTCTTCAACAACAACTGTTAGCTGCAGCCTGCCAAAATCTACTCTGGCTGCTCTTCAGTGAAAGAAATGTATGCCTAGACCGTCCACAAAATAGACCTTTAGACCCAACCGTCTCTTCTGGGGAGGCTGGGGCTTGCCTTTTGCTGTGTTCTGTAGCAGGGTCACCCTTTCCTTCTCCGTGTGCTGCCCCCAGTTGTCAGTAATCCCGGCCGGCCTTAGGTGAGTGTACAGCATCTGGCAAGAGCACTGGGCCTGGACGGCTGAGGTGGCGGCCATTTGAGAGCATCATAAAATAGGAGCCACGTCCTGAAAGGAAGAGGAGTTTCTCCTGGTTTCACGGTGAGCAGAATGAGGTGCTTTCACAGTGACCTAGGAATAGTGTGCTAGAGTTGTTTTTCATGGATGTGAAGGAGTAGAAGCAGACACCAGTAGTTGAAAACTTTATAACAATCTCCCTGCCCCCGTAAAAAACAGTGCTATTATTACTTATTATAGATTTTGACATCTGTCCTCCTAGGTCTATTTCATTTTATTATTTTATTTTGGCCACACCACACGGCATGTGGATCTTAGTTCCCTGACCAGGGATCGAACCCAGGCCCTTGGCAGTGAAAGCACGGAGTCCTAACCACTGGACCACCAGAGAAATCCCATGGGTCTATTTCAATTAAAATTATGTACTTATGTACATATTTACACACATTTAAGGTAAGTTAAACCCATCCTCCAAACATAAAGGGACATGAAGGAAGATGGAAGGATATCCTAGAACTTAGAATTTTATGTGAAAATTCTATACAACAGATATACTTTGGTAAATGGCTAGAACACTCGACTCTGGCACACAACCTTCCTATTCTTTAAGTGGTGTACAACCTGCAATTTGCTTTAAACTTTTCTCTATATACACGTATGTATGTACGTACGTACGTATGTATATATGTATGAATGAAGGGGGGCAGGCTTCTTCCGAGCACCTAACCTTAGTGCTGAAAAAAAGCAAAGTTGATGTAAGGCAAAATACAAACATAGATTTATTAAATGCTGCTCAATCCCCCAATAAAGATCTTTCATTACAAAACAGTTTTCCACACAACTGCAAGTTAAGAGATTGGAATGGTACTCTGATAACAAAATGTGAGAAAATACTTGACCAAGTAGAAACATATACGACTTCTCTATAGTCAGCTTTTTCAGAACCCTACAGAGGAAGCCTACTGCATTTCCTTTACACAAAGCCAGGCAGTGACAATGAGCGCTCTGCATCACCACACCGTGGGACTCAAAGCCTCCATCCCTGCATCAGGAGGTACTGGAGAAGGGCAGGTTGTGAGGACTGGAAAGGCCCTGCCTTCAGCCTTTGGGAGGAAGAGGAGGAATGAACTGAGAAGCAGGCTGTGTTCACGGCATTGCCCCCACTAATCTGTGCTCAGTGCTCTGGGGAGCTGCAGATGAAGGGGGATGTCCATAAGGATCGATGGGAAGAATTTGGTTTACGTTCCCAGCTTTTATTCATAATTTGTGCTTTAAAAAGCCTGGAAATTTAAGTTTTTGCTCAAATTCCAGAGTACAGTAATATCTCTATGAAGGAAGGCTTAGGGCAAGTAATTCCCTCCGTCATATTTCTGGGAGAGATGAAGGGAAGGATAAGAATTACACCTTAGTTTTATTTTACGGAAGTCTTTTTCCTAGGATGTAACTAATGTCTGCAGCAATGTGAAAGCACGTTATCAAAGGGAAAAATATACAGAGCAGACTACTGTATCTATGTGCAACACAACCAAAAACAGAATTCAAGTCATGATTCTTACCACTCCCATAATTATTTCACTCATATCATAGATGATGAAGCTCATTCATTTCTGTGAAACTTCAGAAGAGAGTGACACAAATCAATGATTAGACAAAGGTTACAATATACTATGGCCATGATATAGCACAGAGCTATGTTTAGTCCATATATTTGTTTTCATTTACAGTTGCCAGAAAAAAAATTGGCCTTTTAATTATACTGATGAGGTTTCATAATTTTTACATATTTCAAAAAAGTGTACAAAACCACCTATCCAACGGAGGTGGAAGGCTTTTTTTATTCATCAGTTGTATTGCTGAGAATACTGTGCATGTTGTAAGCACTGTTCTGCTTTTCTAGAGCTTTCTTTAGCTTTAGCTCCTCCAATTTTTTCCATAATTCTTCACGTTCCAATTCCTTCTTTTTCTCCCTGTAAATCAAGACTTTTGTAGTTAGTTAGAAACTTTTATTTCTGAGCTTGAAGAAACATGCTGCTTGGCAGTTGGCTGGAGAACAGACTGCTCACTCACATTTCACTTAAATCCCTCTACTAAAGCATTTGAGACTTTATATTACCTAGAGCACCGCGTTACTCATCTTCATCTCCTGAGTGTAATACCAGGTCCGTGTGGCTCCTGTGCCGACTGAAAGCTATCGTTCGCCTTCCCTCCCTGCATTTTATCACCACCACCACAACGACTGTGGCATCTGTGCTTTATGGTTGGCGAAGTACTTAGTCACCCCTTGCAGTAAACCCCTTGCAGTGGGCTTTTGCCGACAGACTGAAGGGCTGGCCACGAGTCAGCCTGGAGCCGTTTCCAGGTGGAAGCCATATATCCTTTTGGCTCCACATCGCTAGCTGCCAACCAGTCTGTGTCTTTCTTACTATGTCTTGTCTCCTGCGTGTCAGAAGGAGACTTTAAAGTATGAATAGCCTCTCTAAAAAAGCAAAACTCAAAACTTCAACTACTACTTAATTTCAGTTCTAAAGAGAACATTTCTGAATAACTTGGACCAAACTATTCTGAAGGGCTATATGAACATGTGAAAAAACCATGGGCTTACCGTTCTGCAGTTACATATGTTTTACGGGGACAAAAGTGCTGATTTACGCAGCCAGTAAGATATATAATGATCGCTCTTAGTTATGTGAAATATGCATTTTTCAAATATAAGTTTCATATGATCCTAGTCATTTTTCCTTCTTCACATTGCTTCCTAGGACTCAAACTATGTACCTAATTTCTATTCCTGCCTGAAAGGTGCTATTTAAAAGAAATAATGCATTGAGTTAGTTATTGATGGACTAGGATGGCCTTGAAGAAGAGAGATCCTTTCTCTACTTGCCACCAGAAAACCAGGACTAGGAACTTACAGTCAAACTAGATCAGCTTTTCCAAACAGATTAGTTAATACACTTATTAGAAGTAAATGGGCTCAGGTACAGCAGTTATCGAAACTGAAATAAATATATGAGAAGGAAGTGATTTTTAGATTATTTTGTAGTAATTTATGAAATTTTCAAAAAGAGGTAATCACTAAGCCAAGTTCCTAAACGATAATGTGTGCGACCATTTACTCACTAAAATGTATATTGCAAGGGACAAAATATCAGTAATAGTACTCAGCCACAGAAGTATCCTTTCGTGAGCTTCCCCTTCCCAAAAGGGAACCATACTGACTTTAAAATACCACTTTGTTAAAATGTGAAGCTTAAAAACTATCAAATTATTGTGCAAGGAACAGTTGAAGAATAAGCTCACTATGGAAGCCCACGTGGACAAAAGCAATTCTCCTAAATGTGAAAATAATTATGTAAAATAGTATTTAAAATTCAGCATAAATTGTATTTCACAATGCAGATGTTATCATACTGATAAAGTCTAAGGCTCAGAATGAGATAAACAGAATTTATGATCCACATTAAAATCATAATCTAACCATTAGGAGTTTACCTGGAAATGACTTTAAAGTACTTCTTATTAGAGACATTCAAATTGTAATGCTAAATGTAATTGGCTTTTTTCTTTTTTGAATTTTATTTATTTATTTTATACAGCAGGTTCTTATGAATTATCTATTTTATACATGTTAGTGTATATATGTCAATCCCAATCTCTCAATTCATCCTACTGCAGCAACTGGCTTCTTAAACATAATTTGAACTTAGAATATCTTATTGGACTGAATCACATTCAACTAATCTAAAATGTACAGATAAGTCTATAAATAAAAATGTCAAATACCTTTGTCTTTCAGCTTTGTATGAACTAGTAAGATCATCGAAAAGCTTGCCGTTCATCTCCATGAGGGTTTTCAGCACATTGTACACCAGTGCTACAATGGTCCTAAAATGAAAACAAGCCAGTGCTGGGTTACTGATGCTACTAACAGATAGGAAATGTAACACTATCATCTCTGAAATGGGTTAGATGCTAGCTGACTCAGTCAATCAATTTTAGAGCTGACACACTGAAGTTCAAGAAGTTTAGTAATTTGCTCAAGGTCACACAGCCAGTGGTAGTAGAGATGGTCGGTCTGATTCCAAAACTCCTTCCATGATACAGTCCTTCCCACTGTATCATGCTTAGATTAAACCCTCAAAATGTTTTTTTTTTTTTTTTTTATAAATTTATTTATTTAATTTTGGGTGTGTTGGGTCTTCGTTTCTGTGAGAGGGCTTTCTCTCGCTGTGGCTAGTGGGGGCCACTCTTCATCGCGATGCGCGGGCCTCTCACTGTCGCGGCCTCTCTTGTTGCAGAGCACAGGCTCCAGATGCGCAGGCTCAGTAACTGTGGCTCACGGGCCTAGTTGCTCCGCGGCATGTGGGATCTTCCCGGACCAGGGCTCGAACCCGTGTCCCCTGCATTGGCAGGCGGACTCTCAACCACTGCGCCACCAGAGAAGCCCAAACCCTCAAAATGTTATGGTCAGCTTCCTGTCTGCTCTAGAGTCTACTATCACAAACCCTGAGTAACAGCATTAAAAGAAGTTTGGAAAAGATCCAATTACCGTAACTTTTAAGAAGAAAAGTAAAAAACAGGATAAGGATGTTACAGAATTTAGAATGTATGCAATCTAAACATCACTGATGTGACCTTGAGCACTGAAGCTTCTCCCTGGGCTAGGCCAGCTATGGAGGTGAGACTGGATACTGGCAGCACACAGTAGCCTGTGCATCCTCTGCAGATGTTGGGTTTGTCTCCCCAGCAGGGTTTAACCACACACTGGTACAGAACGTCACACCAGACAGTCCCTAGATTTGCAATTCTAAGTTGAAATTAAGAACATACAGGAGTTCAGGGTTTCTGAGCATGAGCCACCCATTCTCCTTGCTTGGCCCTGCAATAAACCTTTCTCTGCTCAAAAAAAAAAAAAAAAAACCAAACAACAAAAAAACCCAGAACATACAGACACACATACAACTTCATAACACTCAGTGCAGAATAGAATAAAACTATGTGATGTTAACCTTGGGATCAATTCCAAATCTGTACAGGTTTCATAAGTATGAGTTATGAGATCAAATGACAAAGAGGTCAAAAAAACAAAAACACAAAAATAACACAATCAACATAAAAGACACTTACGGATTCCAGTGTTCTTTGGAGATTTTGTACAAACTGCCAAACATAATTGGCAGAATTTTATCAATATTCTCCTCAATCAAACTAAGAATATATTCATTGTTCCAGAAGTACAGCGCCCTTTCTGCAACCTAAAAAAAGACATTTAGAAATGTCAAAACTAAAAGAGAAAAGAAGTAATAGTATAAAATAAAAATGGCTTCACTGAAAACATCATACCTGAAAATGAGAACTGGATACACACTTGGATATCTGCTTAAAAAGGGGCTCTTCAATTTTTTTGAATTGTGTTGGTTCAATGACATCTAAGATTTCTTCAATTTCTCCTAAAAACATCACCTAGGTTAAAAAAATTTTCTTTTAAGAAACATAATATGACAAATTACATGATGTTAATATAGAAAACACAAATGAGAAGGTTAACCTACAAATTAAACAGTGGATGAAAAAACTCTTGATAGTATACGCAATTTACTATGATGTACACATATTCTACCAAGTCTCTCTAATCCCCACAGAACATCTCCTGCTTGGTAGCAGTGATGATACACCCAGCCCAAAGAAGCATGGTTTATAGCCCTGAGATTGAGAAGTTCTAATAAAATGCACTGTTTTTGTTGAATGAAATGCACCTCTTTCTGACTGCATGTTTTTGGCCAAAATTTCAGCAATCCTCTGATCACCTGCAAAAAAGGGAAAAGTTTATTTAGCATGAATTAAGCAAAGAAGCTGGTTAATCTCAGGAAATTTTAAATAATTGTGATAATATCAATATTCATTCTGAAGGAGAACAACAGTATTCAATAACTATGTATATCCCCTTACTCTGCTCAGCTTTAGACTTATACCAATTCAACAGATACTTATTGAGTGCCTTTGTACCAGATACTGTTCTAGGTGCCAGGGACACACTGATGAATAAGACAGAAGGAGGTCCCTGATTTTCATGAAGCAGGAAGACCAACATAAGTTAGCAATTAAACTTATAAATAAAATAATTTTAATAGTAGTAAGTGCTACTTCCCACTAAGAAAATAAAGTATGAGATAATGACTTGGTGGGGTGAGGAAGGGAGGTTATTTTAGGGAGAAATTAAGGAACAGATAATTCCTGTTATTTAAACCATTATGAAGCACCCAAAAAAGCCAGAAAGCTTCCCAATTTATTTCATGGCTGGCACAGTCTTGATAATCCAAATACAACAAAACAAGGGATCGTGAATTTAAGTAAACATAGTTGCAAAAATCTGTATTAAACCGAATATAACAGTATATTAGCAAATGCTGCTACCTACCCAATAACTTATTCCAGAAATTCCAGGATGGTTCAACTCATTATAGTTATAGGTTAAAAGGGGGGACAAAAAACTGATCATCTCAAAAGATTTTGAACAGTTATTTGATTTTTTGATTGATTATATATTCTGATAACAATTTAGAACTAAGAATTTATCAGAAACCATCAGCAATCAACTTATATAATGGTCTCTTGGAAATTGGCAGTAAAACTATTTGGGCCTGGTGCTTTTGTGGAAATAAATCTCTGACAGCCTTTTAAGTAAATTTAGTTATTGGTCTTGTCTAGTAATGAAGAACACTCATCCAAATTAAAACTGGGGTAGAACACCGTTCTGGAGCCAATCCAGTAAGATAAGAATCTGATGAATAATGTTGAAAAGGGATATCAGAATTATACTTATTTGTCTAAGTGTATGATAATTATATACCGCTTAAATATTAAAAGATGAAAAATTACTAGAATGAGTAGGAAAATTCAATATGTGGTCAGATAAAAGATAAATACATAAAATCAATACCTTTTAAAACAAAGTATCAGTTACAATAAGAAAAATAAAACAATAAGGTAGCATGGAAACTGACAGAGAAGATATATGACACAGAGGAATATCTAGACAGACTCAAGTATATATGAGGTTTTAATATATGACAAAGGTGGCATTTCAGTTCCTGGGAAACAGCTGAATTAGTCAATTAATTGGTGGTACTTGAACTGGTGTCTCACCAGTTAGAAAAAAAATGTAGCTTCTTTGGTAGGCAGACTCCTGAAATGATCTCCTATGATCCTTACTTCCTGAATTCACACTCCTGTGTAGCTGAGCCCTTCCCTGAAGTGTGGAATGGCCTACTGACTTGCCTCTAACCAACAGAATGTGGCAAAAGGGACAGAATGTCACTTCCATGAGAAATTTACAAAAGATTGTGACTTCCATCTTATAAGCAGACTCTCTAGGGCCTTCTCGTCTTCCAAGCTTTGATAAAGCAAGCTGCTATATTGGAAAGGCCCAAGTACCAAGGAATTGAGGGTGGCTGCTGGCCAACAGCATCTGAGAACCAAATGCTAACAACAGTCACGTGAACTCAGAAGCAGATCCTTCCTCATCTGAGACTTTATATGCAACCCTATACCTGGCCAACACCTTGACTGCAGCCTTGTGAGAGACCCTGAGGCAGAGGACACAGCTAAGTCATGCCTGGATTCCTGATTCACAGAAACTATGCAATAATAAATGTTTGTTGTTTTAAGCCACGAAATTTTGTGATAATTTGTTATGCAGCAATAGAAAACTAAAACAATTCCTTACCCGTGTCACACAAAAAATTCAATTTCAAATGGTGTAGTGGGTTGAATGGTGGCCCCCAAACAGATATGTTCATGTCCTAATCTCTGAAATCTATGAATGTTACTTATTTGGAAAATGGGTCTGTACAGATATAATTAAGTTAAGGATCTCAAGATGAAAGCATCCTGGGTTATCTGGGTGGGCCCTAAATCCAATGACAAGTATCCTTGTAAGAGATAACACAGAGGAGAGACCGAAGAAGAGGCAGCAATGTGATATTGGAGCGATGCAGCCACAAGCCAAGAACACCTGGAGACACCAGAAACTGGAAGAGGCAAGGAACGGAATCTCCCCTAGAGCATCTGGAGGGAGTGCAGCCCTGCCGACACCTTGATTTTGGACTTCTGGCCTTCAGAACTGTGAGAGAATAAATTTCTGTTACTTTAAGCCACCAAGGTTGTGGTAATTTGTCCTGGCAGCCCTAGGAAACTATTATAGATGGAATAAAGTTTTTACGCGTAAAAACTAAATCCATAAAATAACCAGAATATGATACTAGAGAGTATTTTTATAATCTCAAAGGGTAGAAGGATTTTACTTAGCATGACATCAAGGCCAGAAGCCATAATGATGAATAGATTCCACTACATAAAAAATTTTTAGTTCTTTAAAAAGGCAAATATTAAAAACAGTATATTCAAAGTTAAAAGGAAAACTCCAAATGGGTACAAAAAATTTGCAAAATATAATAGGCAAAGGCTTAAAAGTAAGCAAAGGACACAGAAATATAAATGACTAATAACCATATAAAAGGATGGCTGTAATAATTTTAAAAAGCCAATTAAAATATTTCATACCTATTAGACTAGCAGAAGTTTAAAACAATATTCAGCACTGGCTGATAAGGGAAAATAGGCACCTTCACACACTGTACTCTTTGACCCACCCAGCAATATGGTTTTAGTTTCAGTAATTTGGTTTTTTATTCTTTTGAATTTTATTTTATTTAATTTTTATACAGCAGGTTATTAGTTATCCATTTTATACATATTAGTGTATACACATCAATCCCAATCTCCCAAGTCATCCCACCACCACCACCCCCACCACTTTCCCCCCTTAGTAATTTTAAATTTTACATACAGTAAAATTTTTCCTTTTTTTGGTGTACAGTTCTCAGGGTTTTTTATACACACAGATTTTTTTTTTTTTTTTGTAACCAACATTACAGACAGGACACAGAATAATTCCAATACCCTAAAACATCCCCACACCCAGCAACATGCTTCTAACAATGAAAACTCCAATAACTCAAGTGTCCAGGAATTGGGGATTGATTAAATATGTTACGATGATCCATATAATGGAATTTGATGTGACCAGTGAAAAAATAAAGCAGATTAATATGGAAAGATATCCACATTATACTGACAAGTGAAAAAACCTAGTCAGCACTGTCCCACTGTTTAACCTATACATAAATATATGTACAGAAAAAATTTATAGAAATATATTTACCAATTTATATGGTTATCTTTAGGGGATCAGATTTTAAGGAACTTCCTCCACATTATGCTTTATGATTTTGTCTTGTGTGAACCAAATTAACACATTACTTTCAGAAATGGAAGTTACAATAAAGTCATTTCCATTTTGGAAAATAAAATAATTTCAATAGAAGATCTAGGGACATAAAGAATGTAATAAACTACCTAAAGTTCTGACTTATTTACAATTTGTAGGAAGCTTTGATATGAATGCCAGGCTCCTAGAAAATGAGTATTAGGGCTCAAACCCAAGTACTATGGCCTTAATTTTGGTGCTAGAATGGCCTATAGTAGAAATTACAAGATCTCTGTATCTACAGATCTTTATGAATTGAAAAACATTTTCCTTTATCAACTTGGACATTTTACCTCCTCATGCTGCTCCTATTTCTATTAACCCAACTCATCTAAGCCAAATGTCCGGCCCTCATCTCTCTCCCTAACCTTTTACTCTATAAAAAGAAATCAGGGCTTCCCTGGTGGCGCAGTGGTTGGGGGTCCGCCTGCCGATGCAGGGGACGCGGGTTCGTGTCCCGGTCTGGGAAGATCCCACATGCCTCAGAGCGGCTGGGCCCGTGAGCCATGGCCGCTGAGCCTGCGCTTCCGGAGCCTGTGCTCCTCAATGGGAGAGACCACAACAGTGAGAGGCCCACGTACCACAAAAAAAAAAAAAAAAAAAAAAAAAAAAAAAAACCTGGCC